GCTACAGCACGTTCTCTGTTTCTTTCTCCAGACTGACAGTACCCAGTTCCTAGGTGGGTTTGGATAAGGAATCCCTTCTAGCAGGAGAGGAACCTGTTTTCACAATTTGGGGTGTTCAAATCCTCCCTGAAATCCACTTGATGGCTTTTCTTTTCTCTATAAAATATGTAATTTACTGCAGGGGAAAAAAATATGGAGACCCAGCAGGCTGAGCATTTCCTGCCATCACAAATAGCTGGGAGCCCAATTTCCGTGCCTGCTCGCAGCCAGCCAACGTGATAAGTGCGAGAGCAAACACGCGCAGTGTGCTACGAATGCAAGAGCCACCGGGAGGGGGGAGGGGAGGGACGATCTCTCGGTGCCTTACCTGTTAGTGCCAGCAGTAGCAGCCGGGCTGGGAAGCGACCCATCCTGTGGTGGGAAGTGGTTTAGATCTTGGAGAGGTGGAATGCAGCCTCTAGGCGTCTTCAGTGCTGTGAAGATGAATTTCCCCTCACGGGTAGGAAGTGAACTCCCTTTGTCACTGTCTGTCACGTGTTGCTCTGGAGTTAGTGTCGGTTTGGAATTGTTGGGAAAAATCTTTAACTGGGGCAACGTCCCTCAGTTTAGTCTTTGGGGTGGGTGCCTGTGCTTCTGTGTGTTTGAACTGCCAGCCACTTCTCATTTTAAAAAGCACAACAGCTTAGCTATTGACACTTGAACACAGGGAGCTGGGCAAGAGGATGGTGCATGTTGGAGCTTCAGATAACATTTTTAGCATCAGTGTATGTTGTTTTGTTGGCTCTTAGTTTCTGTAGGACACAGTGCGGGCCAGATCCTCTCCTGCACCCCATCTCTGCTAGGTAGGGTCGGGGGGGGGCATCAAGGTGATGAAGGTGTTTCACATGGTCTAGAGGCTGCTCTAAACTTCGCAGCGAAGAAGGAACTTCTCCATCAGCCTGGGACAGCTGGCGTGTAGGGAGACCAGGGATTTCCCGCTACCCTCTTGCAGTGCCATGATCTCACTTCAGAATATTTCATGAAACAGAAGTTTTCCAGTGGGCTCTGCTGGTGGAGGGTAGTTTGGTTGGCTTCCTTATGAGCACTGCCTACGGTTGCCTATTGCACTTTTAAGAGAGAGTCCTGTGTTGCACCTCTTATCTTCACCCAGTGGGAAAGAGGTGAGAGTCAGCGGGTCCTGCTCCCGAATGAACCTGAGGCATGTGGAAAATGACCCACAAAGGCTCTGTGTTGGACAGAAGCTCCCTGGAGAATGTGGTTGGCACCTGAACCTGGGAGACTGTCGGTAATGATGTGCAAGGAGCCCAGTGAATTATGTCTTCAAACAAACCTCCGTCTGTGTTTGCATTAAGCAAGGTGTGAAAGGTGTAAGGGATACCATTCCTCTGGGGTCAGAGGCCTGGGGCTGGCTGGCTGATTAGCCCTGCTCATTGCACCTGAGAAAGACCTGGAACGTAATTAGCTGACCCTTATTTAAAAAAAAAAAAAAAAAAGGCAGCAGGAAATGGCAGAGAGGACTATAACACCCTCCAGGAAGCTGAGGGGTCAAGGGGTGCGCGCCCATTGGACTGCTGCTGGAGCTACTGCGAAGAGTAATTGCGCCAGAAACCAAACGGGCAGAAGGGAGACTGCATGGAGCCCTTTATTGCTGAGACTCGGAGGTCAGAGCCAGGAAATGTGGGTTACCGGAGTTACTGGCACAAGGGACTGGCTTGGGGAAGGGACTACTTGGCCGGCACAGACTATAAGAGAAGTGTTTGTGAGGGTTTTTTGTTTTGTTTTGTTAAGAAGGCTTAAAATGAAACTGCTGGAAATTGCTTCCCTAGAGTCCTTGAGAGAGCTCAGACAGAATTACCTCAGGGAGTGAGCTAATTCTGTGAGAGGAAAGCCTGGTCTGGAAGAAGGAAGACGCTCTAAGATAGGCCCTAATCCTCTGACACAGGGAATATCACCAAGGGGGGCTGCCCCACGCTGGTACATTGTTTGGGAGAATCCTTATAACAGGCCTTAATCCCCCTGAACAGAGACGACACTGTTTCTGTCCCTTGGCACTATGTGTGCGCTGCTCTCTGAGGTGACGTGAGTTTGGTGGCTCTCAGCTCTAGCCCTCTGGGGTGGAGACTGTGCAGCTAAGCATCTTGGATAACGCTGCACACTGATATGGCAGAGAGCAGCAAGCCCCTTTGCCGTGGGTAGCAACCAGAGCACCAGGCTTTCTATCGCCATGGGAAAGGTCTCAATCTCTGGGTATGTCTAAGCTGCAGTCGTAGGTGTAGGTAGACACACATGTATTATCTTTAATCAAGTTAACATGGCTAAAAACAGCCGTGAAGACACGTTGGCATAGACCTCAGTGCAGGCTAACAATGCAAGTATATACCCAGGCTCCCTGGGCAGGTGTCTAAAGCCCACCCTGTAGCCCATGTTGCCATATGTTCTCTGTTATTATTAGCATGTTAACTAGATTAAAGTGAGCATGGGTATGTTTGCACAAACTACAAATCACATAGGGTGAGAGAGAAAATTCTCCTTTAACTCTCAGAGTGGGGCCACTGGGACCTGGTAGCAGTATTCGTTTTATGTTCCTACAGACCCAGTGTGAACCTTAGAGCACTGACCACTTCTGTTCTTTGTGGGGAAACACAGAGAGGTATCTATAGGATTCGGCTGTCACAAGTTCCTAGCTGCAGAATATAACTGATAAAGCACAGTTTTAGCCCATCCCTCTGCTCCCACTCTGTGTTGTTAAACCCTAACTCAGCCCTGCAATGGATTCCTGGACTTGTTCCATGTACTGGGAGTGAGATGGCCCCAGATTACCTGATCCTTGCACTACTGCCCTATTTTGGTCCACCCCGGGTAAGATATCTCCCTGGACATGTGGGGAGCATTCCATTGGTTTTCTGGAGACATCCAGCCAGGCTGGACACACATAGTAAAACTGCTAGTTTTTCATTACAACACTGATTTTCAGTGAATCAGGACAAGACACATGGAGAGCTGAGACATGACAATGCCCTTTATTTAGCATCACCTGGGTTAGTAATTCACATAGCCCATTGCACCCTCTGTAGATTGGACCCGAGACACGCCATGGCTACTAAGAAAAGGAGTACTTGTGGCACCTTAGAGACTAACCAATTTATTTGAGCATGAGCTTTCGTGAGCTACAGCTCACTTCATCAGATGTTTACCGTGGAAACTGCAGCAGACTTTATATACACACAGAGAATATGAAACAATACCTCCTCCCACCCCACTGTCCTGCTGGTAATAGCTTATCTAAAATGATCAACAGGTGGGCCATTTCCAGCACAAATCCAGGTTTTCTCACCCTCCACCCCCCCACACAAATTCACTCTCCTGCTGGTGCTAGCCCATCCAAAGTGACAACTCTTTACATAATCAAGTCGGGCTATTTCCTGCATAGATCAAGGTTTTCTCACATCCCCCCCACCCCCATACACACACAAACTCACTCTCCTGCTGGTAATAGCTCATCTAAACTGACCACTCTCCAAGTTTAAATCCAAGTTAAACCAGAACATCTGGGGGGGGGGGTAGGAAAAAACAAGAGGAAACAAGGGGAAACAGGCTACCTTGCATAATGACTTAGCCACTCCCAGTCTCTATTTAAGCCTAAATTAATAGTATCCAATTTGCAAATGAATTCCAATTCAGCAGTTTCTCGCTGGAGTCTGGATTTGAAGTTTTTTGTTTTAAGATAGCGACCTTCATGTCTGTGATTGCGTGACCAGAGAGATTGAAGTGTTCTCCGACTGGTTTATGAATGTTATAATTCTTGACATCTGATTTGTGTCCATTTATTCTGGCTACTATGGATGTAGAAGCCCTCTACACCAACATTCCACACAAAGATGGACTACAGGCCGTCAGGAACACTATCCCCGATAATGTCACGGCTAACCTGGTGGCTGAACTTTGTGACTTTGTCCTTACCCATAACTATTTCACATTTGGGGACAATGTATACCTTCAGATCAGCGGCACTGCTATGGGTACCCGCATGGCCCCACAGTATGCCAACATTTTTATGGCTGATTTAGAACAACGCTTCCTCAGCTCTCGTCCCCTAAAGCCCCTACTCTACTTGTGCTATATTGATGACATCTTCATCATCTGGACCCATGGAAAAGAAGCCCTTGAGGAATTCCACCATGATTTCAACAATTTCCATCCCACCACCAACCTCAGCCTGGTCCAGTCCACACAAGAGATCCACTTCCTGGACACTACAGTGCTAATAAACAATGGCCACATAAACACCACCCTATACCGAAACCTACTGACCGCTATTCCTACCTGCATGCCTCCAGCTTTCACCCTGACCACACCACACGATCCATCGTCTACAGCCAAGCTCTGCGATACAACCCATTTGCTCCAACCCCTCAGACAGAGACAAACACCTACAAGTCTCTGTCAAGCTTTCTTACAACTACAATACCCACCTGCAGAAGTAAAGAGACAGATTGATAGAGCCAGAAGAGTTCCCAGAAGTTACCTACTACAGGACAGGCCTAACAAAGAAAATAACAGAACGCCACTAGCGGTCACCTTCAGCCCCCAACTAAAACCCCTCCAACGCATTATTAAGGATCTACAACCTATCCTAAAGGATGACCCAACACTCTCACAAGTCTTGGGAGACAGGCCAGTCCTTGCCTACAGACAGCCCCGCAACCTGAAGCAAATACTCACCAACAACCACATACCACACAACAGAACCACTAACCCAGGAACTTTTCCTTGCAACAAAGCCCGTTGCCAATTGTGCCCACATATCTATTCAGGGGACACCATCACAGGGCCTAATAACATCAGCCACACTATCAGAGGCTCGTTCACCTGCACATCCACCAATGTGATATATGCCATCATGTGCCAGCAATGCCCCTCTGCCATGTACATTGGTCAAACTGGACAGTCTCTACGTAAAAGAATAAATGGACACAAATCAGATGTCAAGAATTATAACATTCATAAACCAGTCGGAGAACACTTCAATCTCTCTGGTCACGCAATCACAGACATGAAGGTCGCTATCTTAAAACAAAAAAACTTCAAATCCAGACTCCAGCGAGAAACTGCTGAATTGGAATTCATTTGCAAATTGGATACTATTAATTTAGGCTTAAATAGAGACTGGGAGTGGCTAAGTCATTATGCAAGGTAGCCTGTTTCCCCTTGTTTCCTCTTGTTTTTTCCTACCCCCCCCCCAGATGTTCTGGTTTAACTTGGATTTAAACTTGGAGAGTGGTCAGTTTAGATGAGCTATTACCAGCAGGAGAGTGAGTTTGTGTGTGTATGGGGGTGGGGGGGATGTGAGAAAACCTTGATCTATGCAGGAAATAGCCCGACTTGATTATGTAAAGAGTTGTCACTTTGGATGGGCTAGCACCAGCAGGAGAGTGAATTTGTGTGGGGGGGTGGAGGGTGAGAAAACCTGGATTTGTGCTGGAAATGGCCCACCTGTTGATCATTTTAGATAAGCTATTACCAGCAGGACAGTGGGGTGGGAGGAGGTATTGTTTCATATTCTCTGTGTGTATATAAAGTCTGCTGCAGTTTCCACGGTAAACATCTGATGAAGTGAGCTGTAGCTCACGAAAGCTCATGCTCAAATAAATTGGTTAGTCTCTAAGGTGCCACAAGTACTCCTTTTCTTTTTGCGAATACAGACTAACACGGCTGTTCCTCTGAAACCTGTCATGGCTACTAAGATACGCCATGAAAGTCCCACTCGTGCGCTAGGCGAATGCACTGTCAAATGCTGCATCTTTGGTTTCTTTTGCAGCGAAGCATTTTCCATTAGCCTTGCAGGCAAAGCCTGGCACAGCAAGCAAAGGTTATCCCTCATGGGGGCATGGGGAAAACCGAGCAGAGCTTTCTCATCCTGTCCACGTCTGTGTGGCATCACTACATGTATGTGTGTTTGTCCTGGGGGAGTTGGGAGTTTGGATGGACAGACTCTTGGAGTTCTTTATTTTTCCACCCATCCTCTTCTTCCTCCTCCCATTCTGTCCAAGCATTACCTGCGTCATCCTTTCAGTTCTCTTGTTCTGGAAATGGAAGAGGAACACTGATTAGAAATGGGGTGGGAGATGAGCAATGGAGACAGTTGCTGACAACCTCCCATATGGATGGCAGGCTCATTGCATGTCCATTTCACTTCAGCATTTATCCTCTCCCTTTGCAAGCAGCAAAGTTTGCCCTGGAACCTTATTCCAGTTCCCCAGGACTTTTTTTTCCTCTTGTTTCCCTAGGTCTGTAGCCCAGCCCGGGGGAGTGTCTCCCAGTTGGGGTTAATTCTGTAATGTGAACGCTCATGAGATCACCTGTGAGTGGAAGGAGCTGGTGTTGGTTCAGATTGTGGCTCCCCTCCCCCGTGGCGCTGCTCCTCTGATGGCTGGCGATGATAAAGATCAGTATGGCTGTCAGGAATTTAGCGACCAGGAGTACCATAATGGTGCAGATGAATGCATTGAAATGGGCCTCAGGAAGGCTGTTATGGAAAACCAGACATACAACGGTTTAGCTTTAACTAGGAAATGAAGTTTCCCACCTTTTAATGTGGATCTTGTATTTTGGTAACATAGAAAGCCAAAGACAATCACTGTCTCTATCAGACATTCTTCCTGCCCACGCATGGGAGGCTGCAAAGATTACAGTTGTCCCAAACAATAGCTTTAATCTGAAGAATCTCATTAATGGATAAACAATGATATACAGGAACCACTGAAGTGCAGCCAGCTCTGGGCAGGAATGCAGCAGCAGTTTATCAAACACGCAACAACTCCAAAGAATAATTTTGGATCAGGAAGAGATGAAGAATTTCATGTCCTATGGAAAATGCAGGAAGGCAGCATGAACCCCAAACTGGAACTGGGTCAGGATGCCACAGCATATCCCTTAGTCTTGTGCTGGACACAGACGTTCAGGACCTTGGTTTTACCTCTCATCCAAAAGCGGGATTGCAATACAATCCCATTAGTAAAGAGCTGAACCTTTAATTGGGTGTGAAATCATAATAAATAGTACTGTATTTAATAAAAAATAAAATCACAGAAGTTTAACAGCCCCCAAATACTCCGTGGTTGTAGTAGCCTTTAAAAAGTGGGGAGTGATCAATGGAGGTGAAGCATTTGACTTCTGAACTGACGTAGGGGCCTCATTTTCTCATCTGCTCTCTATACAGTCCCCCGAGTGGTAGAATTTTATCTCATAGGGCCCAACCCTGCAAGGTTCTGAACAGCTTCACCTTGCTGCACACAGGATATTTTGCACCAGGCAGAATTGTAGCCCTCAGCCTGCCTCTCGGAAGTCAATGGGAGGTTTGCCATTGACCCCATTGGGAGCAAGAGCAGGCCCTCAGAGCCTGATTGGACACATGAAGTTGTTCACCACTGTGAATGGTGGGGGAGATAAGCCAAGGCACAGATGGCAGTTAGGCACTTCACTGTCATGGGAGTTGGGTGCCTAACCAAGTGCCCACAGGGTGTCCAGGGCTGGTCAAGACAGAAACCAAGAGTCCCAGGGATATCGCAGCCTGAAAGGCAGAACGGTGACCAGGAAGGCAAGGGCAGCTGATGGAAACGAATCAAATTCCTCCTCCGGAGCAATGGTTCTTGACATTTTCCATATGTGCCACCCTTTCCCATACCGGGTCATTACCCTCCTCTCATCTAACCAGGATCTAGCGGGGAGCCCTCTCCAATTGAACTGCTACCCCTCCACCATTTAGCTAGGTGCAAAAGGCAGAGTGCTCATTTCTCCCCGGCATTTGTTTATGTTCCCCTTTCCATCCTCCCCCAAGTTGCGAACCTCTGCTCGAGAGGAGGGAAAAAGATCTTCAAACCCGGCCACAGAGGGGTGTCAAATGCTAATCCCCTTATGGGTGTCAGAGCCCAAGACCCCGCCGTGAGATATACCTAAGACAATTAGACAGTCAGCTGTTGGAATTCATTCTTTCTGTTCTATTTGTACGAGCCTCTCTCAGATTCTATAGGAAGTGTGGGCTCTGTAATGATGCCTGGCAATTTGTGTCAGACCAATCTGATATCTCCCAGGTGGGAGGCGGCTCTTGAGAGCAATGGGTACACTTGAAAGCTCCCCCAGGGGATAGAATTACCCCACAGGGATCTGTATCGTATTTTTCCTCTGTATAGTTGGTGTAATGACTGGTTAAGTTAATTTCCATGTGTGCATTTGCTACACCAGCCCCGATTTTATTTATTTAAAGCTGGTACTGAGGTGGAGTAGAGTGACCCTTCTGCCATGGTGGTTTCAGGCAGTCAGTGGGCAGAGCCCATCCTTCATGCATCATTTGTCCACTTTCTCTAGGATGCTGCTGCCAACCTTCCCCCACTTCTGATAGGCTCTCCTATCACATTATTATTGTGTGTAGCACGGTAGCACCTAGCAGCCCCAGTCATGGACCAGGACCCGAATGTGCTAGGGGCTGTACAAACAAGGAGCAAAACGATGAGGCGCTTACATCTCAAACAGCTGTGCCACCAGACCAGCCCACTCCTCCTCTGTAGCCAGCCATGTTCTTTCCTATGTCTCTTTGGTTCAGTCTCTCTCCCCCTGCCTGCTGCATTCTTTGCAAATCTCTGACTGCCCATCCCGGGTAATCCTGTCCTACTGGGCAATGCGTCTGGCTTCCCCCAGCCACTGCAGAGGACACACACCCAGCAAGGGATATACCCTAGGTCCCATCGCTGCTTTAAAGCGGGTGCAGTTGCTGGGTGAACTAAACCCAGGGATGTGTTCCTTACAGAGACGTCAGCACAAGAATGAGCCTGCCGGTTTACCTGGAGATGCTGTGCACAGCTCTGGGCTCCTCTGGTGCTAGGGTCTCCATTACACCTGCTGATGGAAAGAGCAGTTTAGCTTCCCATGCAATGTTTATTAATAACCAGAGGTCATCAGCTTTGTTCTGGCTCCTCGCGGATGCGGAGAGGTGAAGTCTGGGACCTCTCTCATACTCTAGTGCAGTGGTTCCCAAACTTGGTTCTGCTGCTTGTGCAGGGAAAGCCCCTGGCGGGCCGGGCCGGTTTGTTTACCTGCCGCATCCGCAGGTTCGGCCAATCACGGCTCCCAGTGGCTGCGGTTCGCTGCTCCAGGCCAATGGGAACTGCGGGAAGCAACGCGGGCCGAGGGATGTACTGGGCACCGCTTCGCGAAGCGTGGCCACTGGCAGCCGCAATCGGCCGAACCTGCGGATGCGGCAGGTAAACAAACGGCCAGCCCGCCAAGGGCTTTCCCTGAACAAGCGGCGGAACAAGTTTGGGAACCACTGCCCTAGTGTAATGACTGCAGTGGGCTCCATTGCTGTAAAGCAGGGTAAATAAGAGAAGAGTCTGGGCCAGAACCTCCAGGCTTGCAGGCCCATTAGACATTTACATGACAAGAGCATTCTGCTAATATTTAGGAAACCATGGTGGCATCTCTGGTACCCGGGCTTGGATACTCCATCTGTGTTCTCAAAACTAGCATGGAACATGGATCTTATAGACACTTGTAATCTGAATAGCAAATCTTGTTAGCCTACAAAGTCCATGAGTAAAACCCGTCTGTCCTGCCTGTGCAGGGACTATTCCTCTGGGCCATCGAGTGAAAGGAGAAAGATGCAGGAAACCCATGAGGTCACCACCACATTTATGACTGTATCCAAAGAGCCTGATGCCTGGTAACAGGGAACTTTGGGGCTTACTCACTATGGACTAACCTGGCATTGCTAACTGCATGGATCCAAGGATGCCCAAACTTCACTGTGTTAAGAGCCACATTAGCAACTTGCCAGGCATCTCAAGGTTGCATACATTTGGCATATGAATCTATGTAGTCTGAGTGCATATCAAACACACAGGACAATAATATTGGTTTCACAGAATCATAGGAACGCAGGGCTGGAAGGGACCTCGAGAAGAGTCCAGTCCCCTACACTGAGGCAGGACCAAGTAAACCTAGACCATCCATGACAGGTGTTTATGCAGCCTTTTCTTAAAAACCTCCCTTGGAAGCCTGTTCCAGAGCTTAACAACCTTTATCTTTAGAAAGTTTTTCCTAATATCTAACCTAGGTCTCCCCTGTTGCAGATTAAGCCCATTATTTCTTGTCCTACCTTCAGTGGTCATGGAAAACAATTGATCACTGTCCTCTTTATAATAGCACTTAATATATTTGAAGACTATTATCCGGTCCCCCTTCAGTCTTTGCAAAAAGAAAAGGAGGACTTGTGGCACCTTAGAGACTAACCAATTTATTTGAGCATAAGCTTTCGTGAGCTACAGCTCACTGAATGCATCTGATGAAGTGAGCTGTAGCTCACGAAAGCTTATGCTCAAATAAATTGGTTAGTCTCTAAGGTGCCACAAGTCCTCCTTTTCTTTTTGCGAATACAGACTAACACGGCTGCTACTCTGAAACCTTCAGTCTTTTGTTTCTCAAGACTAAACATGCCCAGTGTTTTTAACCTTTCCTCACAGGTCAGGTTTTCTGAACCTTTGATCATCTCTGTCGCACTCCTCTGGACTCCCTCCAGTTTGTCCCTAAAGCCCGGCACCCAGAATAGGACACAGTACTCTTGCTGAGGCTTCACCAGTGCCAAATAGAGCAAGACAATTACCTCCCACGTCTTATGTAAAATGCTTCTGTTAGTGCACCCCAGGATGATCTTCGCCTTCTTTGCAACTGCATCACACTGTTGACTCATATTCAACGTGTGATGCACTAAACCCCCCCCCCCCGCCCCCCGATCCTTTTCAGCAGTGCTACCGCCTGGTCACTTGTTCCCCATGTGCATTTGATTTTTCCTCCCTAGGTGAAGTACTTTGCACTCGTCTTTCTTGAATGTCACCTTGTTGATTTCTGACCAATGCTTCAATTGGTCAAGGTTGTTTTGAATTCTAATCCTGTCCTCCAAAGAGCTTGCAATCCCTTCCCTTTGTGCTCGTGCCTTCCCGGCTAGGGGGAATAGCAGTTGTTTGCTAGATTTCACTAGCAAAGAAATATTGTGGTTAGCCATCTGTGTCCTTGCCCTACTGTTGCAGAGGAGGATGGCTGCAGGCCACACTTTATAGGCTGTGCTCTGCTCCTCAGCTCACCCCTCCTGCATTAGCACAAGAACAGCAGAGGAGGAATGATGGTCTTGTGATAAAAGCACTGGACTGGGAACGAGGAGATCTGGGTTGAGTTCCTAGATCTGCCCACAGACTCTTCCTGGGTGACCTTGGGCAGGGCACCTAATCTCTCTGTGCCTCAGTTCCCTATCTATAAAATGAGGATAGCAGCACTTCCTTGGTCTGCTTAGATTATAAGCCCCTGGGGGCAGGGAGCGTGTCTTCCTTCTGGGTATGTACAGCTCCTAGCACATTGTGGCCCTGATCTCAGTTGGGGTCTGTAGATACTATGGTAATGCAAAAAAATGAAAGTGCATGAAATCCTGTTGTATTGAAATCACAGCCTGGGGACCTACCTCCTAGCACCTCCACTTTCACCTTCTTTAAGGTCTTTGCTTCTCCTAAGAAGTCTGTCTTGCACTGGTACAGCCCTGCGTCCTGTTTCTGGAGCCTCTCCATGGTCACTGTGAGGACCCCCTTGTGGATGTTGTCGGCAATGGAAGTGTTGCCTTTCCACTTCTTCAGGAACTGGAGCCAGAAGCGGTGGGCGCTGACCACATGCTGGCACTCGGTCTTATTGACATGTTTGCACCAGCTCTTCTCTCTCCACTTGTTCTCCTTGGGGCTGTAGGTGCACCTGATGGAGATGGTCTCACCTTCCATTCCGTACACCACCGTGATGTTCTCTGCCACACACAGCTCTGGAGGAGAGAAAGGAAAACCTGACTTAGGTCTCAATCATCTTCTTTCTGAGTGTCTTTTCTCTCACACACACAGACAAACACACACACACAGACATACACACACTTACTTCCCTTGTCCTCACTAGGACAATTTGGACCTGTAATTCCCCATCGCTATTGGACGTAGCAACGTAGTGTAGATTAGTGGCTCTCAACCTTTCCAGACTACTGTACCCCTTTCAGGAGTCTGATTTGTCTTGTCTAACCCAAGTTTCACCTCAGTTAAAAACTGCTTGCTGACAAAATCAGACATAAAAATACAGAAGTGTCACAGGATAATGGTACTGAAAAATTGCTGACTTTCTCATTTTTACCATATAATTATAAAATACATCAATTGGAATATAAATGTGGTACTTACATTTCAGTGTATAGTATATAGAGCAGGATAAACAAGTCATTGTCTGTATGAAATGTTAGTTTGTACTGACTTTGCTAGTGCCTGTTGTAAAACTAGACAAATATCTAGATGAGTTGATGTATCCCCCGCAAGACCTCTGCGTACCCCCAAAAGTACATGGACCCCTGGTTGAGAACCATTGTTGTAGATGACAGGGTATCATCCAACCATTTACCACTGTCCTCTACTCACCCTCCTCCCTCAGTCCCCAACGTTTGGGCATGTTCAGATTTAGGATTTTGGTTCAGGCCTTCTCTAATTCTTTACCTATTGACCCTCCACTGATGCAACAGTGGGTTTTCCTATGGGAGAGAAAGGGGAGGAGATCTTGTCTCCCCAGTGAAGGATTTGTCTCTTGAAATGCCACAAAAGCCTTCCCCTTCCGCACTTTCTTCCTTGCACGATGTTGAACATTACATGGCCTGGCTTGGGCTCCAGTCAGAGCTCATCAACACCTCACCTTGCCTGGTCACGTGGCTCACTCCATAGTGATAGAGTTCAAGGCCAGAAGTGACCACAGAGATTCCAGGCTGACCTCAGTGATGTGAGGTCCTTCCATCCTCTGGGGGCTGATCACATTGCTGGGCCAGGGAGCAAGAAACTTCCAAAAATTGAAACTGGGCCTTTCCTGGGACACTGAGGAGGATTAAATTTACAAAGTCTGCTTGGCAGTTACACCCATGGCCCCTAGTCCGGCTCTGGTGGTATGCAAATGAAATTCACAACCACTGTAGGGCCCCTTCATGCTGCCAGAGTGGTGCAAACTAAGGGGTCTTGGTATAACGGAATCAGATCCACAGGCACAAGCCGGTCTCCAGTTGTGTGGCTCGAGGATTAATTCTTAGTCTCGTTACTGACCTTTTAACACCCTTGGTTTTGAGAAATCTCTTTTTGCTCTGTTTCCTGGGATATTGCTAATTCTAGCACTGCCCTAGGAGCAGCTGATCTTTGACTACTTTGCTGTTTCTCCTTAGTTCCTTCTAATTTCTGTTTCTCTTCAAGCTGCAGAAGCAAAGGGACCACATTGTTTGGGATATTTATACATTTAGAAGGAAGCTGTGTGCTATTTTGAGGAGTCTGTTTTAGGTGAAGGCTTTTCAGTCACTAGCGACTGCTGCAGAAGAATTCTAAGTAGAACTGAAGACGGGAATACATTGGGAATGGACGTTATAAGGGCTTCACAGAGCTGCCTGTACTGAGATGATTGGGAATGCCACAATGTTTGGGAAGATGCACCATCTTCTCTTATTTGTAAATATTCAGAGTAAATGTTAAGCTAAAAAAGAGTAGGCATAATGATGGATAGGTGTTCTGCAAGCGTTGCATATGCTGCTTTGCCAATGCACCTCAGTCCTGACCTGCAGCATCCTGCTATTGTAGTCTTGGGGTTCCACCCCCACCCCAGTGCACCTCAGTTCTGACCTGCAGCACCCCGGCTATTTCACTCTTGGTCAGAGACTGCCAGTTTAGGTTTGGTAATGTCACATGCAAAACTCTGAGCCATTATCTTTCAGAACAATGCTGCTGACAGAGCCTATGTTATCTGTGTTCCTTCTCCCTTATTCTTTATTACTGAGGATGATACAGATGAGCCCAAGCCAGAATGTTGGTTGCAAACACCCCATCATTTTGGAAAGTCTGGCCACTCATCCAGATTTTGCAGCTGTGGCCTATGTGTAATGGAAATAGGGTCGGTGCTTGGAAACTATTGGAAAGCGTTCATCTACTATTATGTATATTGCGATAGCACCTATGAGCCCCCATGATGGACCAGGGCCCCATGGTGCTAGGGGCTGTACAAACACAACACAAAAATGGTTCCTGCCCAAAGAGCTGACAATCGAAGCATAAGACAAGACACACACAGGGTGGGACAGACCGATGGTAAGACTGCATGTGCCAAGACTATAGAAGAGGATGTTGAGAACCGGGATGAGAGTTCTAATGCCTCAGTGGAGAGGAAAAGCTGTTCCTTACAGATGTTCATCTATTCCTGTGTCTTATTTCCCACGTGAAGTCCCCATAGAAAGATTGTGAGCATCGCATATATGCTGCTAGCTAGATGACAGTCATAATGGATAGGCTCTCAGCTTCTCTCTGTCCATCTCCCAGGCAGGGGGTTTTGAACTTCTTAACCCTTTACAGGTGAGAGGAGCTTTCCCCTGGCCAGGAGGGATTTCAAAGGGGTTTACCCTTCCCTTTATATTTATGAAACTCCTTAGTTCCTTCTAATTTCTGTTTCTCTTCAAGCTGCAGAAGCAAAGGGACCACATTGTTTGGGATATTTATACATTTAGAAGGAAGCTGTGTGCTATTTTGAGGAGTCTGTTTTAGGTGAAGGCTTTTCAGTCACTAGCGACTGCTGCAGAAGAATTCTAAGTAGAACTGAAGACGGGAATACATTGGGAATGGACGTTATAAGGGCTTCACAGAGCTGCCTGTACTGAGATGATTGGGAATGCCACAATGTTTGGGAAGATGCACCATCTTCTCTTATTTGTAAATATTCAGAGTAAATGTTAAGCTAAAAAAGAGTAGGCATAATGATGGATAGGTGTTCTGCAAGCGTTGCATATGCTGCTTTGCCAATGCACCTCAGTCCTGACCTGCAGCATCCTGCTATTGTAGTCTTGGGGTTCCACCCCCACCCCAGTGCACCTCAGTTCTGACCTGCAGCACCCCGGCTATTTCACTCTTGGTCAGAGACTGCCAGTTTAGGTTTGGTAATGTCACATGCAAAACTCTGAGCCATTATCTTTCAGAACAATGCTGCTGACAGAGCCTATGTTATCTGTGTTCCTTCTCCCTTATTCTTTATTACTGAGGATGATACAGATGAGCCCAAGCCAGAATGTTGGTTGCAAACACCCCATCATTTTGGAAAGTCTGGCCACTCATCCAGATTTTGCAGCTGTGGCCTATGTGTAATGGAAATAGGGTCGGTGCTTGGACATTGGAAAGCGTTCATCTACTATTATGTATATTGCGATAGCACCTATGAGCCCCCATGATGGACCAGGGCCCCATGGTGCTAGGGGCTGTACAAACACAACACAAAAATGGTTCCTGCCCAAAGAGCTGACAATCGAAGCATAAGACAAGACACACACAGGGTGGGACAGACCGATGGTAAGACTGCATGTGCCAAGACTATAGAAGAGGATGTTGAGAACCGGGATGAGAGTTCTAATGCCTCAGTGGAGAGGAAAAGCTGTTCCTTACAGATGTTCATCTATTCCTGTGTCTTATTTCCCACGTGAAGTCCCCATAGAAAGATTGTGAGCATCGCATATATGCTGCTAGCTAGATGACAGTCATAATGGATAGGCTCTCAGCTTCTCTCTGTCCATCTCCCAGGCAGGGGGGTTTTGAATGGGTGGATATAGGGTGACCAGACAGCAAATGTGAAAAATCGGGATGGGGTGGGGGGTAATAGGAGCCTATATAAGAAAAAGACCCAAAAATTGGGACTGTCCCTATAAAATCGGGACATCTGGTCACCCTAGGTGGGTATCATAGGAGAGTGAGGTGGAAGAACCGTGATTCCGGTATCCTTCGTAAAGTAATGTGGTCCTTGGTTATTCCAGGGTGTTCCAGGAAGAGAAGTCCAGTCCAGTTTCCTCCTGGAGGAGAGCTGGAATTTTTGTTTGTCAGCCTCCGTAGAAAAAGAAGGGAAGAAATTGACAAGATTTGCATGGGACTGGAGGAAGGATGGTCTTGACATTAAAGCAGTGGACTGGGACTCAGACAGGCCCTAGTTTTATTCCTAGCTTTGCTACAAACTGTCCCCTTGTGACCACTGGCAAGACATTTAACATTTCTGTGCCTTAATTTCCTATCTGTAAAATGGGGCTAACGCTTCCCTGCCTTCCGGAGGTGTTGTAAGATGCTCAGTTGTGACGGAGGCCAGATAAGCACCTAGATAGAATTGTTTTCCCTATATTTTTTCCATTTTGCCTAGATGCATCAGACAATCTCCAGTGGTTAGCCTGACATCCTCATGCCTCGCTCTCCCTCCCCCTGCCCCCAAACTCCTCTCTCCAGGAATCTCTGGAGCTGTTGTCGTTTGCATGTAAAATAGTCACACAAGCTGGATTTTGCAATCTCAGTTGCTGAGAGTGCAGTTAAAGGCTCTTGTTATTTCTTCCAAGGTGTTTCCTGTTCTGACTTACAGGTTCCCTGACAGACCTCAGCCCACCACCCTGGAAGCACCTGAGCGGTAGGATCTCCGGTGTCCTTTGGAAAAAATCAAGAGTAAAGAACACAAACCCTGGAAAGAAATGAAACCATGAATGCAGCTGCTGAAAAGCATGTAGTGTAGTGGCTTATGTTTAGGGGAGCCCTTCTGACCCCCCCACTCCAAACTACCTGCTCCTTGTCCACAAACATGTAATAGCTCCCCAGTCATGGGATGGATTCCCTCCTCCTCCTCCTGCTTTGTATATTCTCTGTGGTTCGCATGTTCACTCGCTAAACATGTCACCGTGGCTCCATTTGACTCAGTCTGCTGCTTCAAGACTATTTGTGGCTTCTTTGCCAGACATGTTCTGGGACTCGTATGGGTCAGGAGGGAGGCGGGCTCGTTCTCCATTGCTTTGCACCTGACGTTGTCATTCACGCAGCAAACGCAAAGTGGGTGGATCATGGCACCAAATCCGTATATGTGCATGCGACTGTCCCTTTGCACAGGTGCAGTTATTGCACAGGGCCCAAGACAAGGGAGAACCAGGCCCAGAGAATCGACATCTCTTCAGTACTGTGGCAGATCTTGAGCTGGATCCTGCAGGGGGCAGAACACCTCCTGCCAAGTTTTGAACTCCCTCAACTCCTCCTGCCGTAAATCTTGCCCTTAAAAGATAGCTACCTGCTTTGACTTTTATTGGCACTCCCACTGATAATTGTGGGGGTGGGTCCGTTTAAGAACGTTCACAGTAGAATCATCTTCTCTGGCTCCAGAACAAGCAGCTGAGCCTTGTGTCCTATGCGGCGTTTGCCTCATGGGCCCTGCTATGACTCATGCTAGATGTTGGACAATGCCAGTCATTGCTCCAAACCTTTGCCTACTCCTCAACCCGACACAAAAGGAGCTGGGCGCTTTCTTACCTGATAAGGAGACCAAGAAGACCAGATGCATGAGCTTTTCCATGTCTCTTCTTCCCGCTATCCAGCAGTGCAGGGGGGAGGCTGATCAAAAAGAAAAAGGATTCTTGCCCAAGAGCGGCTTTTTTCTCCTTGTTCTGCAGGAAGGAATGAGAACAGGAACTTGGCTTCTCTTCCCTCCTGGGGATTGAGCAATGTACCCGGGACGGATGCTTCTCTGACTGGCTGAAAACTGGGGCAGCAGCAATGCCCACTGTGAACCAGCCTTTGGTCTAGACAGCCTGAGAAGAGTTGTCATATGATGAGGAAACCATGCGATGCAGAGGCGTTCTGACACCGAGGGATGGTGCTTTTCATTCTCAATAGGCTTTCTAGACAAGCTTTTGCATGATGTGAACTTCCCGTGTATGGACGGAGATTGTGTCTTGACTATCTCAGGGTGGGCTCTGCCAGGAAGATCACCCAGACATCTTGAAAGGTGGAATAGTGGGGCTGGGATACATCCTTGGGGATCTCCATGGAGAACCCTAAGGTTGTATTCAGACTCTTTGCTTGTCCTTTAATGGCACAACTGGAAAGGAGCTACAGAAAAGCTTATCAGACAAGGCAGTCCAGCAACTCAACATGACCGTTTAGGACAGGAAGTGAAGAATATTGTATGAGTTTAGACTGCTGCGTGTTTCAGACCAGCACAATGTAATTTGCCCAGGACACAAGGGTTAACATCTTTACTCTGTACTCTTACAAAACGTGCTGTGGGATTTTTAATGAAGTCAGAGGACCAGGAGCTCAGTTTTATGTTTCATCTGAAAGACAGCACCTCCAGCAGGTACAGGGCCCATCACCACAGTGCTGGGGCATTGGTTCAGTACTGACTTGGAAGAGAGCCACCTATGGAGTTAACTAATCTAATGAGCTAGGTATTCACATGATGCCCATCACCATGGTATCTGAGCTCCTCCATTGCTTTTAGCTGGAGGTTTTCCTCCAAGTACTGATTCAGCCCCAGGCTATTTAGCTTATAGGAGCTGACAGCATCACACCCAGAGGTGGTAGGACTGCAGATATATCCTCTATGCACAAGCTTTTCTCTTTCTCCCTCTCTCTTCTAGATAAGATATAAAGAAACAGTCCTCCACCATGACGACAACTACAATATAGGATTCATTCTTTCTGTGTAGAGTTCCATTTTCAGTGCAACAGGTAGGAGTTCAGCTTCATGTTGACCAGAAACATCTACTGCCCTTCAAGTAGACCCCATAGTCCGTTCTAGTTCAAAATCTTCCATTATTGTCTAGTTTAGGGGTTTTTTAGCAAATATTTTTGTACTTTCTTTTGTAATTCCCCCCAGCTTGTTGCTCCTCCTGAGCACAATGTGATTTACAGCTATAGTGGGTCAGGAAATTTATAAAATTCCCTGCTAAAACAATGACCAAAATTGTTGAACATTTTCTTTGATTGTTCCCCCTCCCCCTCCACTCCCCCAATTTTTCAATGAAAACATGAACATCGTCAACAGAACTGGGCACTTTTTCACAAACATGCCTCTTGTTGACCAATAAAGGCTATTTTCCACCATAAAAAATATTTGACTCACTCTGTTTACAGCAAATTCCCGCTATCAATTTACTCCCTTCATTCCTGATCATTGAAGATCCTGCCCATCCCCAGGCGCTGCAGAGCTTCCTGTCTCAGTCATATTTCTGACCCTTCCTTGTGCATGCAAAGGGATCACACCTTGTGTTGCCATTTGATTGAGTAGCATTTTCCACCCACATTGTACCGGTGTAAATGGCTGAACAAGGGGCATATAGTGGTGGAGAATCAGGCCCTGGGTCTCAGGCTCTGCTTTCTTTCTCATTTACGTTATTGCTGGCAAAAGATGCCTGATTGTTAGCCAGAAAACAAAAGTCAGTTATGTATCCTCAGAAGATTGGTAGGGTAGGCTTCCCCATGGAAACCCCAAGACAGCAGGGATCTACTTTTGGAGTGAGGGGTAGTTCAGGCCCGTTCAATCTGCCACCTGTCTGTGGTGCTTGGACAGCCAGATATGGTGCCAGCTCTTTTTGGGAAACGGACACTTCTGTCCACTGGGAACTGGGCTAAGACCCAGCAAACTCTCTCCACATCACTCACTGACCAGCTATCTGCTCTTGGACATTACCCACCCAGTCCAGATTCGCACCACTGATTTATAAATTAAAATTCCAGAGTCTCAGCATGACCCTCTGAGTCACCCAGTGCATCCGAGTCCTTAACTATTTAGCCTTAGTGATTGTTGTCACTTCCTTTCTGATTTTGGGCCTGTGTTGAAATCTGCCCTATGTGCTCATCCTTCTACTTCCTCTATTTTCTCCGTCATGTTCCTTGCAATTTAGCTGCTTCGTCTAGCACTTCCTCATACCTGGTCAGCTGCCTGTCCTCTCAGCTAGAGCAATGGGGGGACCCTTCTGTTTGGAAAACTCCCATATTCTTCCCTGCCCTTCCTTCTCCTGGGTGCATGTGTGCGGTCCCGTCTCTTTTCTTCACTCAAACACTCAAAGACTGGGAGTGGATGAGTCATTACACTAACTAAAAACTATTTCCCCATGCTAATTTGCCCCCTATTGTTACTCACACCTTCTTGTCAATGGTTGGAAATGTGCTATCCTGATTATCACTACAAAAGGTTTTTTCTCCTGCTGATAATAGCCCACCTTAATCGATTGGTCTCGTATGTGTGTGTGTGTATATTTATCTATATCTTCCTAGTGTATTTTCCACTGTATGCATCTGATGAAGTGGGTTTTAGCCCATGAAAGCTTATGCTCAAATAAATTTGTTAGTCTCTAAGGTGCCACAAGGACTCCTCGTTCTTTCCTCTGATACAGACTAACATGGCTGCCACTCTGAAATCTGACTCCTTTCTTGGTTTCTCTATTCCCCATTGCCTTGGTGTGAGTAGCCAGCCTGGGTAGGTCAGCAATACAGCCAGAGGTGCTGAGTAACCCAATGGCTTTCCCAGCCGGAGAACGACTGGCCACTCCTTCGGGGCGTTCAGGGGTGGGATGGGGAGTCAGAGGCCTGTGCCAATGCAGCCGTGTGGAAGCAGTGTCAATAAACGCTTTGAATGCGGCAGGTGACTGTTTTCAGTGCGCTGGCCATAGAGACTGCATGTATGTCCTGAACCTGTGGACAAACACTTGAGCACATGTTCAGTACTAGAGCTGGGAGCACCACAGGATCCAGCTTTCGAGACTCTCCCCTGTCATTAGCCCTGGCAGGCCTGTGCCCCCTCCCATAAAGGAAGAGACACATGCACCCAACACACGTGCAGCTCTGAGACCCCACATGCCTGTACACTCTATTTGTTCATTTTAAATAGAAGCTCCTGATCTGAGGCCTCACCAAAATAACAAACATTTAATTTATTCCAAAATCCTGTTGTCCCTGTCTCCCTCACACGCACGCAGATCGCTGCACTTGAGCTGCTTAGGTGTTTGCATGACCTATTCTGCACTAACGTGTGTCTATGTATGCAAAATATCATTTTTGCAGCTGCAAGTCTGTTCTGGGGCCTTGGTTCGTACAGTATAGTCATTCTAGATTAGAAACGGTGATGATGGTGATTAATACTTACCTGTCTGCCGTGCAACACGTTGCCCCCGTGCAAACGCTCTCAAGCAACGTATTGAGGTACATGCAGCAAAACATGATGCAGTTCACACATAATCAGTATATTTATTTCCACCCCCCATTCATTCTCTCTCACTTTCCCAAGGGGAAGCTGAACCCTGTAACACCTGAGTCAGAATCTTACACATACAATGTTTGAGTGAGTTTGAGATGACAATGCAAAAAGTGTCTTGCCCGGCCATATTCCTCCAGCCTGATCCCCGAGGATTCTCCTTTGTTCTCTTGATCTTCTCCAAAAGCAGGTGCATTTTGCCCAATTGCCTGTGATAAATTTCTCTGCAAGCCTCTGATCTGAGGCAGGTCTTTAAATATACATGTTAAATATAAACATAGCAAAGACTTCTTCTCTAGCATGCACACATGCTTCACCCCCAGCAGTGTTTCAGCTCAATCTCTTCTGTTCCACAGCTGGGCTAGTCGGGGTTCTTGAGATCACGATTTGGCGCCTGATGCTAATGGCTTGAGTGAAATGCTGGCATATCCCACAGGCTCAGTGGGGAACCTGGTGTGGGGTGTCTCCAGAGCTTGACTTGGCGTGATGTTGGCATAGACAGATTCCGGGGGACTGGGTCTGGATTTAAAGACCAAGGTGACATATTTTAGGTCTTGTGCCATCTCCTGTTTGTCATCCTTGGGATCATTCATGTTGCTGAAGCCCTGAGACTGTGCACAGAAAAGGAAAACACTTCTCAGCGAGAGCAGAGCTGATACCAAAAGCACAAGATTTACTCAGGTAGGGAGAAAAAGACCAACCTAACATGTTACTCTCTGTTGCGGAGAAGCTGGAAGGAGAGTGAGCCTTATTCACCCATCTCCTTCCCAGAAACCTACTATGACCCCATCCTTTCTACATTGGCTTCCAACCCTGTTGCCTCTCAAATGCCCCTAGAATCTCTCTGCTTCACTGCATTTCCAGCAGCATTTCCTATTGCTGTTCCCCCACTCATCCAGTGTTTTAAAGCCCCCTGGAGAAAGTTAACCTTGGGGTTTTAAGGTGAAGAGAATGCAAAGAGTTCAGGGGCCACAGCCAATTGCTGGCAAGTCAGCAGGACTCAAATGGATCATAGGACACCTGAGTTTTGTAGCCTCTTGTCTCTGTTTAGCTGTCCAGCTCATTCTATTCAAACCTGACCCATTTCAGCCTATTCCTATGTGTTCTTTCTAGTCAAATCCAATCCAGCCTTTCATTCTGCTCCATTTTCAATCAATCCCAATTCATTCTCGGCCATCCCAATTTTCAATCCACTTTCTCTGCACACTCTTCAGAGCAGGGACGCCCTGTGCACTTTTGTCTGCAAAGCACGTAGCACAAAGCACAATACAAATAATTACTGATTCAATCCAGTCCATTCCAGTCTGTTCTATTTAGTTCATTCCATTCCACTCTTGCCTAGTCTGATCCAATCTATTCCAAACCAGCACGATCTATTCCAGTCCCCACCACTGCAAACCAAGATGCTGCTTGGGTTCCTGTTTTGTATATGCACCATCCCAACATTTTGCCTCCAAGCCCATTATAAACAGGTATCACTGTCAGCTAGCGCTGGTTGGAAAAACTTCAAGGGAATCATTTTCCATTGGAAAATGCTGTTCCTGTTGAAATTGAATAGCTTTGTGAAATCATGTCTGTTTTGCCAAAATTATTTTTTTTGGGGGGGGAAATCCCAACTCCGGCCCATTTTGACATTTTAAGAACAAAATGTTTCAAATTTTCTTTTTGAAAAGTCTTTTCATTTGGAATTTTTTATTTTGTATTTTTAATACAAAATTTTAAGTTGACAATGGAATGAAATGTTTCTGTTGACTAGAAATGGGGTTTTTTTTTTGCATTCATAGAGAATTTTGAAATCTTTTGGGTTCCATTGTGAAACTTAAATCTCAAAATCCTTCACAAAATGGTATTTCCATCCTCACACGGCTCTCTTGTCAGTGTGGAGGGAGAGTGGAAATTTAAAATGATTATATAAGTAAACAGCAGTGCACGGTTTCACTCTCACATCCTCTCTGCCAGCTCTGCCTTACAGGGCCATCTCTTTCCACTTTACAGCAAATGCCCCATGATGGCGAAAAGACTGTTCTTTCTCTTTGTACTGCATTTAACACTGTACTGCAGGGGTTGCCAAACTTTGCCAGAGCACGGCTCACATTTTAGTACAGAGGTTGTCTCATTGACACTTCTCCTGTTCACAATTAAACAAAGCACCCCTCCCGTTCACGTGCAATCACATAAAAGCCTCGTGGCAACTACAACAACTGCCTGTGTGGAAAAGTAACATTAAGTGAGCTGTAGCTCACGAAAGCTCATGCTCAAATAAATCTGTTAGTCTCTAAGGTGCCACAAGTCCTCCTTTTCTTATTAAGAAAGTATTTCAAGTTTCTTTGAATGCAATTTAGCAGCTGAAAATAAGGAGAAGCAAGCTCCACATGATCAGCCAGTTCTTCACAGACTGCAGTTTGGGAACCTCCACGCGACTGCTTTTATGTTTCCAGTAGCTTCACTTACCACTGTGGCGTCCTTGGGTTCTTCATAGATGCCTTCAGCTTGTCCATCACCTTTTCATAAAGACAAGACAAGATCCCCTCAATCCTGAGCATTCCTCATGTCATCACAGCGTAGGTGAAAGCCACAGAATGGACTGGCCAGTAGTAATGGTAGCAAAGATTGTAATAGTGGGGACCAAACTACACTGAATCCAGGGAGCAGGTTGTGTCCAGTTTACAGTTCCGCCCTGGGAATGATAGTATGGCTGAGTTTATGAAATGTCCTGTGAGAAGTTTTTAGGGACGTGGGTCTGATCTCATGTGGCAAATTATTTCTAATCTGGTATTTTCTGTGGCAGTGATTGCAGTCTGATGCTTTGGAGGATTTTTTTAAAATCCAGGATGCAGCTGTCCAGTTGTGCAATGTGTATTTAGGGGAAAGAACGCCTTCCGAACCCTTGGGGCAGTCAGCCTGTGCCTTGACACACGAGATTTGACTACCTGGCTTGTTGCTTGTGTGCTTACAAATGCTATTTTACCCTTTTAAAAACCAAACTATTTTGCACAAACGTACAGTCCTTTTATCCAAGGACCTCAAAGCACGTTTACAAAGATTGAAGGACACTTAAGTAGTTCAGGCTCAAAATTTAGGTTTTCTTAAGCTCAAATTATTATTAATAGGACATTTTTTAGGAAGTTTTTTTTTAAAAAAATTTGTGTCCAAATAGTTTGCCTGCATGTAAACATTCCCATGCGGCCTTTGTAATGTGCAAATGTGCAGCCGTGAGCTAGTGCACAGGCATGAGCAAGAGGAACCAGCTACAGACAAAAGTGAAAATGCCAAGGGTAGTGTCAGCTTGAATGTGATGGGAGGAAGGTAATCAGCATAAACAGAGGCCAAGCCCTGACTGGGAATGGAGACAGCTTAATTCTGAACGTGCTCCCTCTAGCGCAGGGGCACACGGGGAGAAGACGGAGATGGGAAGCCAGCACTGCTGCTTACCTGGCTGTACCTGCTCTCCACCTTGTCCAGGGCTGCCCACTGGGAATCAAGCAGTGGGGTTGAATTCACTCCAAGTTAAAGCAAATGAGAAATAGGGAACCCAGTGTTGTGACAGCCAGACCATGTGAGGCCCCATCCGCTCTCTATTTACCTCTTGTCTTCAGCTGCCTGGACTGTCTGGTGCACAATATCACCAAGCCTAGAAGCACGAGGATGAAGAGGACTCCCAGGACCACGCTGACGATGATGACGGTTCTCTCACTCAAGAAGCTGAGGAAGCAATGGCAGTCTGTGTTACAGGCGGAATGCTTCCCAAAACCCTTAGCGCACACCCAGCGGACCGTCAGACCGGGCCCTGGGATAGCTCGCACACCTCGGTGGCTTTTTCTCATCATGTTACTTCCTTTAATGCTAAACCCTGTCTGTGCCATTTGACGTAGGGAGTAAGATCCTGAACGTCTCTCTGGGGCCCTGTGAAAACAAACCACTCTCTGAAGCCCAACTGTGAGCTCTGTGGGACAGGGAACGTCTTTTTTGTGTTCTGTTTTGTACAGTGCCTAGCACAACAGGGTGCGGGGTGTATGGTGCCACCACAATACAAATCACAGACCTCAAAAAGAAAAACAAACCTAAACTGAATACATCAGTAAATAGAAGGAGGTGATACACCGCTGGGGAAATATTTAATACGGCTTCTGCAGCTTCCACTGAGCACAATGGCCGCTGGCTGGCATCAGGAATGAGAAGGGGGCAACGTTGCTTTTACAATGGCGGATGCAGGGAACTGTTTGGATTCAATGCATCCAGATCTAACGTCATTTCTCTTGCGCCAAAGAGCAGCAGCTGCAAGGGTTAATGATAACACAGTGACAAGACGAGTAAATTCTCAAACGAGACGGGGCCTGGATATCATCTGCCCATTTTATCATGTGCCATTTAACACTGGTTGGCAGCTGGGAAGAGGGCACTAATCTGGCACCTTTTAAAGGAGGCCTGCTACATTCAGTGCCACTGTGAAAGGCTGCTGCTTTCTCTCTGAAAAGACGAGAATGTGGGATCAGCCACTAACAGCCCTTTGGAGGTGTGCAAACACAGAGGCTGTCTTAGAGGAAGGGGTTGGATCCTTACCTGCTGTCTGCTGGGTTGACCCCAGCACTAAAGATTAGGCTGGTGTGACCTGTGGTTGAGGTAACTGGGACGTCACTGGTAGATGTAGCTGCAAATACAAACACAGTTTCAACACCTTAGGCCTTGTCTACTCCAGCCTTTAGCCTGTAACATTTCCAACTAGTGCTGGCTACCACTGGTGCAGGGCTAGTGGAGACAAGCTGGCCGTGCTGTAGGCGCTGTGTCATGCAGACCTACTTGGAACAAGCTAAAATACGCAATGGTTAAAAGGCTGAGTGGCCACTTGAGCCTTGTCTACACTAGCCTTCACACTGTTGCTACTGAGAAGCACATGGTACGATGGGGAGGTTGCTCTGTTTTGCAAAACTTCTCCTGTAACTGGAAGCATGTAACAATCCTAGACAAAGCCAGCCAGGAGCATGTGAGAAGTAGGCCATTAGCATCACCTGTGTAACAGTTCCCTGCAGTAATGAGGAAACCAAGCAAAGAAACAAACCCTTAGAAACATGCAAAACATCGATACAGTAACAGCTTCTAGAGCCCTTACTACACATCACTTCAGGCCTCCCATGAGGTATCAGGGCTCACAGACTGTGTATTCAATCACATGTATTATGATGCCTTTTTTTTCTTCAAAATAAAACCTTTGTTTTTCAATTACCTTTAATTCTATTTTTAAATTGTATTTAAAAAGAAGTATCTCAAAATGGAAACAAAATGTTTTGCTGGAAATGAAATGTTTTTAATCTTTGAAACTTGTAGCTAACCAAAAGTTCAAATTTTTGCACAGCTCTAATTCTGATATGGACTTAATGTCTGACGGCTTCCCTTGCACAGGACTATCCCCACCCGTCTGTATTGCTCGACTGCCATCTTCAAAAACAGGCCAGAGAAAGTTGCTGGGCTCTGATAGCAAATTTGTTAAATTTCACTGATTTAAAAAAAAAGTCAATTTGAGGGAATAACTAGAAACTGGAGCTGGTTAAAATGTGGGTCAGAATTTAAAAAAATATTTTTTTTCCTCCATCAGAATGCAAAATTTGAATTGAGTAGTATCTCTGCTAGCTGCTCTGGAAACCAATGCTCAGCTGCTACGCAGGTGCTTAAAAACTATGAGTCTGTGGGTCATAGAAGTACCTAGATTGAAATGATTGAACCAGCTCTCAAGTAAAGGGGAGACGAGAAACAAATATTTAGATAGAAAAGGAGGACTTGTGGCCCCTTAGAGACTAACCAATTTATTTGAGCATCAGCTTTTGTGATGCATCAGATGAAGTGAGCTGTAGCTCACGAAAGCTTATGCTCAAATAAATTGGTTAGTCTCTAAGGTGCCACAAATCCTCCTTTTCTTTTTGCGAATACAGACTAACACGGCTGTTACTCTGAAATATTTAAATAGGTCATTAAAAACAGAAATATCCACATGACCAAAGTCCTTATCCCAGCTGATGTTCTACATCAGTTCCTAGTGTGAGCGATAAATAAAGGGACAAGGTTTTGTGGGGAGTGGAGAGAATTCCGGAATCATCTGGGAGGAGGTGATACAGATTCAGTATCAGAGAGAGGAAGGAGAGAGTGGAGAAGGTGGGGGGCTGAAATCTGCATACCAAAAAAATCCCAAACCCCAGATTTTCCCTACCAATAAATACTCACCCTTGGTAACAGCCAGTTTAACTTCAATTATTCTGTAAAGCCTGGGAGGCTTGTAGTGCACACACCAGTACACCCCTGCATCGTCTACCTGCAGTTTCTGCATGGTGATAGTAACAATCCCTTTCTGGGTGTCGTCATGTATCCTGGCTCTGCCTTTCTGAGCCCTGTTTTGATATGTGAAGTACCCGTGATCAGTGCTGACCAAGACATCACACTCATTCTGAACTGTCCTTCGGCACCAGGCTTTCTTCTCCTCTTTGTAATCCTGTGTGTTGTATGGACACTGGACAGAGAGACTCTGCCCCTCCATAGCATCGTATTCTTGGAATTCTGGAAAACACAAAACCCGGTCAGTACAATCTGGTTGAGAGGTATGATGATGTACATTTCCCATGAGTGGGTCATATCCCCAATGGCCAAATTCTTCCTTGGTGTAGCTCCATTCACTGGCTTCAGCTGTGTTACAGGAGGGGTGAATGTGAACTGGTGTATTTGGTCCTGTTTGCCGCAAAACTCAATGGTTTGGGCTGTTCCCTTTGCACTTGATCATTCCAAAGTCTTGCAGAGCGAGGGAAGCTATGGATCCTTTCCAGGCCAGGTTCTCCAAAGAGCTCAGTGTGTGGGGTGCAGTCTGGGTGCTGAGCTCTTGGAAATCTGGCCCTGATTGTTGGGACCGAGCACTTTAAAATAGTGATTCCGAGCAGTTCCCGGTGTGAGACAGGAGAGAGGAGACAAGGGTTTGTGGAGGGTGACAGATTCTGGGGGCATGCAGGAGGAATCTATACAGGCAGGGGAGAGATGATAAAGTGGGGGAAGGAATTGGGATTATAGTCAGTGGAAAAGACAGTTCTCCTGAAAGGAAATGAACTCACCCTTGGAAACATCCAGTTTAATTGCTGTTAGTCGATACAGTATATTGGGCGGCTCAAAGCGCGCACACCAGTACGCTCCGGAGTCCTGCACCTGTAGCTTCTCCATGGTGATGGTTACAATCCCATTATGGGTGTCATCCTCTATTGTGGCTCTTCCAGAGGTAAACTTGGTTGGGTGTCTACGTGATGATGGGTAAGAGGTGCTAACTAAGGGAGAGCATTTCTCGTCTCTCAGCCGGCACCAGGTTTTCAGTGTTGCACTATAATCCGTGGAACTGTAAAGACACTTAACAACGAGACGCTGCCCCTCCATTCTGCTCTCCACTGCGTCAAACTCTTGTTCCTGGAATCCTGGAAGACACCAGACCTGCTCAATTAGAGCTGGGCTGGAGAAGGGCTGCCAGCTGCCCCCCCGTCTGTCCTGCACTCCAGTGCTTGGACGAAACACAGCCCAAGAACTAGAGGCTGGGAAGAATGGAGATGAATCAGTAAAAGCAGCAATTACAAATCATTCTCCTATCCAGGGCCGGATTAATGCAGGGGCTTTAGGGGCTGCAGCCCAGGGCCCCGGCCAATGGGAGTTGTGGGGGCGGCGCTTGCAGGTGCGGGCAGTGCATGGAGACATGCTGTCCTCCTCCCCACGGGGGTGCACAGAGATGTACTAGCAGCCAGTCACTTCTGGGAGTGGCGTGGGGCTATGGCAGGCAGGCAGGCAGCCTGCCTGAGCCCTGGTTTGCCGCTGGCCGTGAGCCACCTGTGGTAAGAGCCTCCCTGACGGAGCCTGCACCTCACACCCCCTCCTGCACCCCAACCCCCTACTCTGGGTCAGAATCCCCTCCTGCACCAAACTCCCTCCCAGAGCCCGCACTGCTCACCCTCTCCTGCACCACAACCCTCTGCCTCACGTCAGAATCTCCTCCTGCACCAAACTTCCTCCCAGAGCCCACACCCCGCACCCTCTCCTTCACCCCAACACTCTGCCCCAGCATGGAGCCTCCTCCTGCACCCAAACTCCCTCCCAGAAAGAAACTAATATAACAGCTGTTCTAAGGTAAGAAGTAGGCTATTTTCAATTAATGTAACTATATTTGACATGTTTTAAGACTGAAATGTAACCACAGAATGGCTTTGTTACTTAAAAGGCAAGTTTAGTATAGTGTTAATAGCCTCGATGCCATAATTGTGATCATTTTCTTTTAAATTAGCAACAAGACTTGTATACAGGGGCCCCACAAAATCTAATAGCTCCAGGCCCACAGGAGAGTTTATGCAGCCCTGCTCCTAACACCTGCCTGGAGCACATTCAAAGACAGCAACATATCCTGCACTGTCCCCTGCACACAGTCCATTTTCTAAGTGTGTATTCCCATGTTCTTTGTTTATTTGCAGCATTTCAATCTCTCTGGTGCTTTAAAGTCCCTGTGTCATCTCCACCTATTTACATGTAGGTAGCTGGCAATAAACCAGCCCAAATTTGAATTCCTTGCAGCATCAGACATAATAACAGTGGTAAGTCACATTAGCTATTCCGATCTCATAGAAGATATGTCATACACTTGATTTACCCTGGTATAAGTGAAAGCAGAATCAGGCCTGTTTTTTTAAAATCTCTCCTCAACTAAGGAGCTGGACAGTTGAGCACAGATCTTTGAGCTGGGTAGTTCTCTGCACTAACACGGAGATGGTTTGGATGTTCCAGTAGATCTTTTCAATATCTTATTTAGGACACATCTCTAGATGGGTGAAGCCTACGGCTCCACAACTGGAGAAAAATGAAACTAGCCAGAAAGTTTCTGCTCATCCCTTTACTCTGTTCATCCTTATAAATACTATTTATTTCAGTAATGCAGAAAGGCCATGCAAGAATGGGGCCTAATTGTACTAGGCACTCTGCAACTGCCCAGGAAGACTTGGGTGCCACACTCAAGTCTCTTTTCAGACCCTTTCCTTAGGACTCTCACAAGATAACACAAAATATCCCCCTCTGGCAAATGGGTTGCAAGACCCAGAGAACTTCCCCTCTGCCCTTGTAAAAGGGCACTCCCCCCTTTAAAACCCTGCTGAATCAGGGGACAAGCAGCCCATTATGGCATGGTCTGATCCTTTAAGGGCCAGAGGCCTGGAGTTGGCCAGCCTGTCCAGTTAGCCCCACCTGCCACACCTGGGGGAGTGGCGGTGGGGGGGATGAGGGTTAAGTAGTAGAACCTGCTGGGTGTGGAGGATCCGTAGCTTCCCTCGCTCTGCAAGACTTTGGAATGATCAAGTGCAAAGGGAACAGCCCAAACCATTGATTTTTTTGATCTATAAAGATCAGCAGGACTCTGCAGAGAGGGGATGATCAGGAAGTTGTAGAGAGGTGGCAGGGTGTGAGAAAGGCTTCTGCAGGGAAGATCCTGAGACCAAGAGAGTGACTCCAGCTAGGAAGCATTGGGAAGAGCCTGAGACACAAGCAGAGTTTGGGGCTGTGTCTAGCTTGTTGCAGCGGGAAGGGCTTTTTGTGTTAATAAAACTCTAAGTAGGGCTGTTCTCCTTGGATTCATTAAAGCCAGTGTGGAGTTTATTGAAGAAGTCCCTTGAAAGGGGAAACTGAGGCAGGCCCCTGAACAGCAAGCTTTGGCCATGAAGGGGTGCTCAGGAGTTGGCTGGCCCCTGTGGGACAGCCCTTAGCTAGTTCCTGGTCATTCCACCCTGTCACACAGAGACAGTCCCTGCTCCAAAGAGCATACAATTAGGGCTGTCGATTAATAGCAGTTAACTCACGCAATTAACTCAAAATGTTAATCACTATTAATCGCAGTTTTAATCACACTGTTAAACAATAGAATACCAACTGACATTTATTAAATATTTTTGGATGTTCTTCTACATTTTCAAATATATTTATTTCAATTACAACACAGAATACAAAGTATAGAGTGCTCTCTTTATATTATTAGTTTTGATTACAAATATTTGCACCGTAAAAATGATAAACAAAAGAAATAGTATTTTTCAATTCACCTCATACAAGTACTGAAGTGCAATCTCTTTATCGTGAAAATGTCACTTACGAATGTAGGGTTTTTTGTTACAGAGCACTGTACACTTTGTATTCGGTGTTGTAATTGAAATCAATATATTTGAAAATGTAGAAAACATCCAAAAGTATTTAAATAAATGGTGTTCTATTATTGTTTAACAGTGCGATTAATTGTGCGAATAATCACAATTAATTTGTTTAATTGCTTGACAGTCCTACAAGCAATCTAAATACACAAGGACAACCACGGGTGGGAAGGGAAAGGGATATAATGCCCCAGCAAAGCGAACAATGCAATGGCTGCCAAAATGAAGCCCTCAGCAGTTCTCCAGGGGCAATCCATGGACCACTGCTGGTCTGCAGAGCCCTGCGTGGTGGTGCACAGGTCGGAATGCTTTAAGAAACAAGAGGATTGAGGTGATTGATTGGAGCTGTATGGAGCTAGGGCCTGTCTCCACAGGGGACATCGCTGCCAGTGTAGCTCTACCAGGATAAAGAAAAGGAGGACTTGTGGCACCTTAGAGACTAACCAATTTATTTGAGCATAAGCTTTCGTGAGCTACAGCTCACTTCATCGGATGCATACCGTGGAAACTGCAGCAGAGTTTATATACACAGTTTCCACGGCATGCATCCGATGAAGTGAGCTGTAGCTCACGAAAGCTCATGCTCAAATAAGTTGGTTAGTCTCTAAGGTGCCACAAGTCCTCCTTTTCTTTTTGCGAATACAGACTAACACGGCTGTTACTCTGAAATCTACCAGGATAGCTGGATATCGCCCCTGTGATGCATGTCTACACGGGGGGCTTGCACTGGTGCAGCTACATTGATTTAACAACACACATCCCCAGTATCGATAGCTCCCTAGGTAGAGGTGTTGAATGAAAAAGTGGGGCCAGGAGCGAGCTTTCATCCCAGGATCCGGTCCATATCCTGCAAATAGTGGAGAGTGACTATGTGATGTACTCAAGACGGGCTTCTGTTCAGTATCCGTATTTGCTATGTCTAGGAAAGTATAGTCGTTAAACAGGCAGGTTTGGAAAGGAGAAACTGTGGCTTTAAATGGTAGCTCAGAGGATCTGAAAGCTGTTTGAGCAGGTGTGACGTGCTCTATGATGGGGGTTTGGTGCTTTTCACTGGGCTGTAGTCTGACTCTTAGAACACTGAGGGACGTATTTGCAAAATTGCTCAGCATTCAGCTGCTTCCACTGAGAACTCTGCATCCCTCCCATATCCCCCGAGTTGTTCTCAAATGGAGCTGCTGGGTGGCACTGCTCAGAAAATGGGAAAGTTTCTGTGGAAAATATTGATGTTTTATCAAATTGAAAACCCAAAAGTGCTGGTTATTGGCTGAAAAATATTTGGGTTTTGGAAGTTTGTGTGTGTGTGTGTGTGTGCAAAGTTGAAATTTCCATGAAGAGCAAACACGTTTTTTAGTTGAAAACCCAATTTCCCATCAAAAACAGTGCTGATAGAAAATTTTTGAACAGTGCTACTGGTGGATGCTCAGCACTCTTTGAAAATCTGGCCCTGCTTGTGTCACGGTGCCTGGGAACTGCCTGAGGCAGTGAAGATTTATTTCTGCTCCCTCTCTCTCTGGCATAAAACTGAAGTCAATCCCTTGATGTCAAAATAATTATGCAGATGGGAGATCAGAATTGGTTCCTAAATAGTTACAGCTGAGTTCCTATGGCTGCTGTGCCATTTTCTGGACGGGTGTGTGAGATAATGTTTGTTTTAATCAGAGAGAAGGGGGAACTCTGTACTGAGCCGGAAACAAGTACCCAAAAGAAAAGGAATTGCCTGAGTCGTGGTTAAAACTAGACCTGCACTTGGGGAGAATTCTTGTAGCTGTTATTTCATATTTATATTATGCAAGTGTCCAGAGATTCAGAAGATCGAGGCTTGATTCCCGAGCAGGGAAAATATAGCCCCAGATCCCACCTGCCCCTGACATGGACTGTCCATGTAACTTCCCAAGTATCACTTCACTCTTCCACTTACCTGAGATGCAGAGCAGCAGCAGCAGCAGCAGCAGGAATCTCAGCTCCATGCCTGTCTTCAAGCCCACAGAAGGGGCATTGCTGGAATGTACTCTGGAACGTGAAATGGATTTTTAGGAAGTGTCTTCTCTCTGAGCTCTCTCCTATCGACACTGAAGCTGCAGGAGGAAGTGGCTGAGGTCTTGCCTTAGCACGGAAATTATTCACCATGTTTTGCAATGAAACATATTAAGATAATTTAATTGTGTATTTAGGGAAGTGGATGGCAACAAAAGAGTTTGGGGGGAGGGGGAATGGTTTCCACATCCCTCCTGGGCACAGTCACTGTCTGATCTTTCACAGACTGGGCTAAATGATCATTTTGTTAAGTTCCCTGTGTGGGAAAGCGGGAACGAGCTGGTGTCTCAGGCTCAAATCAAACCCCAAAGAAAAAAGGGGCATATTTTAAGAGACAGGTTTCCTGAGCATGGAAATGTGGTGCATTAAAATGCACCCCTTTTTGCTTTGTGGTATGATTGGAGCCTGAAAGACCATCTTGTTCCCCTTTCCCACAGCTCATGTGATCAAGAACTGAGGATCATCTTTTGACTCAGGTTCCACCAGGGCAGTGGAGACCAGTTTGTTTGTTTTTGCTACTATGCCTCATCTCTGCTGGCAAACTGCATGATAGAATCCCAGAAATGTAGGGCTGAGAAGTCATCAAGTCCAGTCCCCTGCACTGTGGCAGGACCAAGTAAACCTAGACCATCCCTGACAGGTGTTTGTTCAGCCTGTTCTTAAAACCCTCCAGTGACGGGGATTCCACTACCTCCCTTGGAAGCCTGTTCCAGAGCTTAACTATCCTTAGAGTTAGGTTAAGTACTAGGAAAAACTTTCTAAGTGTCCCTTGCCTAAGATTATGCCCGTTACTTCTTGAGCTACCTTCAGTGGGCACGGAGAGCAATTGATCACTGTCCTCTTTGTAACAGCTCTTCAGATATTGGAAGACTGTTATCAGCGCACCCCGCAGTCTTCTGTTCTCAAGCCTAAACACGCCCAGGTTTTTCAACATTTCCTCACAGATCAGGTTTTCTAAACCTTTGATCATTTTTGTTGCTCTCCTCTGGACTCTTCCTAGTTTGTCCACATCCTTCCCAAATTGTAGTGCACAGAACTGGAGCGAGTACTCCAGCTGGGGCCTCACCAGTGCCAAGTAGAACTGGACAATTCCATCCTGTGTCTTCCATATGACACTCCTGTTAATACACCCCAGAATCATATTAGCCTGTTTTGCAGCTGCATCACACTGATGACTCCTATTTAGTCTGGGGTCCACTGTAACCCCCAGATCCTTTTCAGCAGTACTACTACTGTGCCAGTTATTCCCCGTAGTTGTGCATTTGATTTTTCCTTCCTAAGTGAAATACTTTGCACTTGCCCTTATTGAATTTCATCTTGTTGGATTCAGACCAACTTTGAATTTTAACCCTGTCCTCCAAAGTGTTTGCAAACCCTCCCAGTTTGGTGTAATCTGCAGATTTTATGAGCATACTCTCCATTCCATTATCCAAGTCATTAATGAAAATATTGAATAGTATTGGATCCAGGAATGACCCCTGCAGGAACCCACTAAATATGCCCTTCTAATTTGACAGCAAACTGTTGATAACTACTCTGCGAGTACGATCTTTCAACCAGTTGTGGACCCAGCTCATAGTGAATTCAACTAGACTACATTTCCCTAGTTTGCTTAGGAGAATGTCATGTGGAAATGTGTCAAAAGCCTTAAAAAATCAAGGTATATCACGTCCGCTGCTTCCCCCTATTCACTAGCTAAGTAATACTATCAAAGAAGGCTATTAGGTTGGTTTGGCATGGTTTGTTCTTGATAAATCCATGCTGACTGTTCCTTATTACCCTATTATCCTCCAGGTGCTTACAAAATGTTTGTTTAATAATTTGGTCTAGTATCTTTCCAGGTATCAAAGTTAGGCTGACTAGTCTATAATTCTCTGGTTCCTCCTTGTTCCTCTTTTTATAGATAGGTACTATGTTTATCCTTCACCAGTCCTCTGGGACCTCTCCTGTCCTCCAGGAGTTCTCAAAGATAATTGCAACCAGCTCGGAGATTGCTTCAGCTAGTTCCTTAAGTGTCCAAGGAGGAATTTCAGCAAGCCCTGCTGATTTGAATACATCTAACTTATTTAAATATTCTTTAACCTGGTCTTTACCTATTTTGGCTTGTGTTCCTTCCCTTAGTTGTCAATATTAATTATGTTGAATATCTGGTGGTCATTAACCTTTTTCGTGAATACTGAAGCAAACTAGGCACTAAGCAGCTCAGCTTTGTTGATGTCATCATTTGTTAGCCCTCCTTCCCCGCTAAGTAGAGGACCTACACTTTTCTTGGTCTTTCTCTTGCTCCTAATGTATTTAAAGAACATCTTATTGCCGTTTATGTCACTTGCTGGGTGTAATTCATTTTGTCCCTTAGCCTTTCTGATTTTGTCCCTACATACTTGTGCTGTTTCTTTGCATTCCTCTTTATCAATTTGACCATATTTCCACTTTTTGTAGGATTCCTTTTATATTTTCAGGTCATTAAAGGGCTCCTGATGGAGCCAGATTGGCCTCTTATGATTCTTCCATTTTAGAACTAACATCAGCCTTAGCCAAGGGCTGTCCTGTTTAACACTGCGTCAGCAGATTGCAGTTAGCCCTCTGATCCACTCAATGATTAACCATGACCAGATGAGGCTATGTTAAACCCAACAGTCCATCACTACACTGAATGATAAATCATGTTAGTTAAGATGTTTTCCAGCAGGAAGTAATTTTTGAGGGCAGATAAGCCTTATCTGGATCTGGCCAAGGGCAGAGTCTTCTCGTTGCTTGGTCTTGTTTGTGCAGTTCTCCCATGGAGGAGGCCACTCTGAGTTCCTCTGAGAATGTGCAAAGCTTTTCCATTCCATTTATAACTCCATAGCTCCTTGTTCTCACCTGTGCACTGGAAGGTGAGAGTTCATGCTGAGGGGCCCTCCAACCTTGATATTCCACGTAATGGACCCAGATGTTGCTTTGGAGAAGGGCACTTTATACATTATTTCAGGGGGAAAATGCACCCTTTGTATATCTCCCATGCAGAAGCAGCATGAAGAGCAGCAGTGTAAGGTTTTCTCATTCCACCCCTTGCCAGCATGCCTTTAATCTGAATGGTAGGGACTGTGTCTAGCTGTTGAGAGAAGAGTCTGTACCCATGACCATCTCTGTCCTTAGCAACTCTGCTGGGATTGCCATCTACTCTTCACTCTGATGGTGATTTTCGGATGTGGGCAGTGTTTGGGCTCCTGCCTTCTGGGAACTTGACTGAGATCCAACAACCCCATTGGACATTAAGCAGTTTGGTAAATACTTTTGGTCACGGTACACCTGAGTCAGCCATTGAGCCAGATTCTACTCTCATCTACCCTGGTGTAACCCCACTGACTGCCACTGATCTACTCTGAATTCACTGTGGTGTGAATTTGCCCCCAAAACCTCCTTCTGGTTCTGCCATCGGGTTGATATGGAGCAGGCAGTGGAGAGGGTGAATTAGTAATATCTTTCACTTCCCTAGCACCGTTGTGTGTGGATCTCAAAGAGCTTTGCAGGCAGTGAGTGCAGGACTTGTGTTGCAGAGGAAGTATCAACCCAACATTGCAGAGGAGGAAAGAGAGCCTGTCCTGCATCTGTTTTGAGATCCCATAGGAGGCACTATATGAGTTCCAGGCCTTATAACAATCAAACTAGCCCCCAGGTTGCTCCCAATGATCCATTCCATGGAATCGAAAAGAGCCAGGGCCAGGACCAATGGGACAGATATTTCCATAGGAGCCTGGCATGGAGAAATCAAACTCATACCATTCAGTGTTCATACGTTGTATTTTCAGTTAAAGAGAGTCGTTACAGCCTTCAGAATTGTACAGCTCATGGAGTAACAGTAGGGTTGCCAACATTGTATTTAAAAAATAGAGGAGCAGTTTCTTGGCAGTGCTGCTCAAATTTGACCTGGCTGCTCCTCCGTGCATGTCAAAGGGGAGGCCAGGCCACATTTGCGTTGACTGGCAGCCAAAGCCATGCTCTGGACTCCTCCGGAAACACTCTACATTGAAACGGATGATAAAAGGCCCTCAGTACTGATTTTGTTTGGGACAGGCAATATTTATTTAAATAAGGGACATCTCTAAAGATATGGGACTGTTGGCAACCCAGGGAAACTGGGCCCGTCTGCAGCCAGTGTAGCAGAGAGCCTCTGTGGATATTTGTCACAGCCCCCTAAAGCTCTCCCTGCTGGACACTCACCAGGCTACTGTGCATGGGTCCATCACACTAGAGCCATGTGCTTTAAGCTTTCCAAGGCTGAGTAGGCCCCAGCACTGTCTCTGTCCTTGGCCTCTCATGCACTCTTCATGGAAATGGGAGCTCGTGGTCCAGCTGCTCTACGCCTCCAGGACCCCACGACCATTCCAGTAGTTTAAGCTCACCGTTTCCAAGAGCTCCAGCTTTGTGGGTGCTCTGGGTTACAGGTTACCTCTCTTGCAACATGTGACAGAAGAAGCACATAACACACTGACTTTGCAAAAGTTCCCAAACCAAGCACTCTATGTCTTTAGATTTCTCAAGACATATAGAGATATAGTCCAAACAATGACATCTGTGTGCATTTCCCTGCTTCAAATTGCTAACCTTTCTTGAGCGTTCTTTGGGCTTAGGTCGGAGCCCGCTATGAGTCCAGGATCCCCTCTCCTGCATGTGGCTTCTCCTCTGAATCACAATCTCTCTCTCCTCTTCAGCCAGCTTCCTTCTTCCTCAGCTGGTCCCACAGTTCAACAGAACACTGCCCCCCCAGCTATGAAAGCATGCCCCTCTGTTATTCTCTGCTGCCCAAGCTTCCTTTGAGTCCCTCCTGAATCTCTAAGCTGCTGCAGTTTTTAAGACCCCGTGCTAACACTGGATCTCTCTGTTTTGCTTCTGGGAAAATTCCATTCCTTCAGGCCCCTAGTGCCCATGCAGAGAAATTGTAGAAAGCGAGCTTGATCTATGATGCAGTTACTCCTGTTGTCTCCCCGAGTAAGGTCTGTTCTCATGCTGCTAGTCTATAATAATCAGCCTGTCCATGGACAT